AGCTAATCCCGACTGTGGCTAAGTGGAAGTAGTTGCTGTTAGCCTATCCAACAGAAGTACAATAATATGTGATTTAAATGATATAAAAATGAATTGATCCACAATCTACAGCAATCTGAGCTCTGTCCAGCCCCCCTGCCCTGCAGTGGGGTGGGCAGCGCTCCCTCTGTGCCATCGAGCCCAGCACGCCGAGGGACCCCGACACATTCTACGTGCCAGCACACGGGATATTTGAGATTATTTGGAGATGCAGGATGCACGCTGCCCGGCCCTCGCTGCAGGTGCTCTCTAGAGGGCACTCGGCTCCCAGCGAGCCGCCCGAAGGGAGCCCGCGGCAGAGGCGAGCGGCGAAGGGGCGCGGGGGGCTCGGCTCGCCCCCTCCAAGCAGAGCCAGCCGGGTGAAGGGATGTCTGCGGGATGTGCTGGGGACATGGGGACATCCCGGTGCCCAAAACACCGAACGCGCTACCAGCCCTGGCATCCTGCTCCAGCTCCGCCGCAATTCAATGGTCACACTCAGCGTGTGACCCGGTTTTGCGTGTGCAGGTGTCCCCTGGCTCCCACAGATCCCAGGTGTTCTCTGGTGTGGGGGAGCGTGGGACGGGCACCAGACTGAAACTCGCTTGCCAGTTTGCTAATACCTGTTTGTTTTCTAAACGGTACTGGGGTATTTTGCATTGTGTTGTTAGGTGGGAGCACAGTGAAAGCCAGTCTCCTCAGGGGTTACAAATGTGCTGTAATGACCCTTTGCTAATGAGGGTCTTGCGGGTGGAGCAGCAGCTGAGACCCCAGAGGAAAGCTGGGCCAGGGGCTGTTTGGACCCACAATGAAGCTGCTCCAAACCAAAGAGTTTGTGCTCTGAAAGTCTCTTACAGCTCTGACTCACCTAATTACTGCTCCTATCACAACCACCATCTCTCTGTTGGGTGGTGGAGCTTTTGAAGGTGCTCGTTAATGTTTCATCACTGCTCAGCTCTGCAATAGTGAATGAGTAACAGATCAGGTAGAATGTAGGCAGGAATTATGCTTTTCCTAAAGCAGGGATGTTTGCTGGATTGACTGCTCTTCTGGAGGGCAGCAGGTCACCTGTCCATGCCAAGTCCAGCTTTAACTGACCAGTGGGTGAATGTGCTGCATTAGGACCACTGGACACAACAGGACAGATTCCAGGGATATTCCCTGTGCCCACACACCTCGGAGTGTGGGTGGACACCAGCATTACACCCTGTCTTGCAGAACAGTTCAGGAGAGGCGGGGACTTTCTCACATCAAAACAGATATTTTAAAACCCTTTGCTTAAAAAATCCTAAATAGCTTTTGGCATAAGGGAATCACAGGATCATTTAGGTTGGAAAGTCCCTCTGAGATGCTCGAGTCCAGCCCTTCACCCAGCCAAGGCCACCACTTGCAGCTGATTTTCACAGAATATCACTGAGATCTAAAACAATACTGTGTGGTTTGGGTTGTGGGAACAAATCCAAGCACAATGGTTAGGAGCCCCATGCCTGGAGAAGAATGAGGAACCATCTTTTGACAGAATTATTTCTCATTACAAAAATACATTTACAGAAAAACACACTTTTCACAGGAAATTGTTGGAACTGAGCATTTTCAACCTCAAATGTTTCTGGATGGAACTGCTGCCAGGCACTCACAGCTGTGTTAGTGGAGGGACAAAAGATTCTAAATACATTGTACTCTCACTACAGAATGAACAATTATGAATTGTTGGGTAGGAACTACTTTTTGCTTAGAACTCTCAGTTAATCCACTATTGAGACAATAAATGTGATTGAGCTCTAATGCATTACAACAGAGCTAAATCAGATTTTTCCATTTTCAAGTAGCTAGATTTTTATTGGATGAGAAAAAGATCCTCATAATTTAGATTTTAATGGAGAACAGCTTAATGCTAAGTGTCAGGCAGCTGAAGCTCACTGGAATGAAGACCAGAGTACAAACAAGAATGATATTCATCCTCCAACACAGTCACACTGCACAGCCTGGATTTCTTTTGTACTATGGAGAAATCCTATGGGATTATCTGTTGTTAATAAAACTGTCTGATGATCATATAATGGGAGTTATTTTATAACATATAATTATGAGAATGAATCATATTCCCCAGGTAAATATTTCATAGTTTTTCTTTGTGTAGTAATATACAAGAATTTAGTTTTCCCACAAGACTTGACCAGAAGCAGGAAGGATTGAAAAGGATCACAGTGAAGCACCAAAAAGGGGGACAACAGTCCAGTTGTGACCCCACAAATGTGCTCATCAGCCTCTGCAGTTTCTCCCAAACACAACAGCATGGGGAGGGTGTGGAGCTGGGGAAGGTGGTCCTGGGGCTGAGAGGAGCTGGCGTGTGCTCACCCACAGCCCCAGCCTGAGCTGGGCCCCAGCCCCTTCTCCTTTTCCCAAAGGAAAAGGGCTTCATTCTCTCCCAGCTGGGCCCTGCAGAGCACCGGGGAACCCGAACCCCACCATTGAAATGCTGAGTGAATCCCTGCCCATCCTGGGAGAATTTCTGCCAGGCTGGGGGAGCCGTTCAGGCTTAAATAGTCCATCCTCCTCTTTGGGCAGAAGCTCGTAGCAGTTTCATCACAGGAAAAGGGAGAGGCCTCATTGCAAACAAGTGTGGAGCCACTTGCCTCCTCCTTCTCCTCCACACCCCTCAAACCCCCATCCCCCCATCCCAGTTTGGCTCTGCCCAGTTTTTGGCTCTGATGCAGTAAGCAGCACCAGCCCCAGATTCCGCAACATTTCACTGTCCCTTTCACAGGTTCCGCTGGGGATCCTTCCAGTTCCTGAAGTTTATTGCAATCACTTTTATGTGAGGGTTTCCCAGCCCTCCAGCTGCACTTCAGCAGCATCTTTGGATTTTGCTGGAAACCTTATCTAAGATCACCCAGGAAGCTCAGAGTGTTGCAAGGGCCTAGACAATTCTAGAAGACAGAACTGCAGAGAAAATTACCACCTCATAAACCAGCTTCCACCTTCCAGCAGCTCTGAAATAAAACGTTTCTTTCAGGAACCATTTGTTCTGTAACTCTATCTTTGATCCTGGCCAGGATTTCCAGACACTATGAATCTGTCAGGCTTCTTCAGTTTTAAGGAGTTAAGTTTCACTCTTGAAGTACATTGCCTGCACAAGTTCTAGGGGGAAAATGGCATTCAATCTTCTTTTCATGTATTAAAAATGAATCTATGAAACTGCACACAAGCATCGCCAATGATATACAAACCATCCAAAACTATTCTTTTTGTTAAGGGAAGACAAGAAGTTTGGTTTTCCTAAAAGGAATGACTGACACAGAAGATGTAATAAATATCTTTCCAGCTTAAAAAAAGAAAAGAAACCAACAGAACCTTTCTTCAGAATTATACAGAACAACATTGATTTGTTCCCATGTCTGTGTATCAAGGGTGTCAAAGCAACAGTTAAATGGGACATAACCCAGGTGCTTCTTAAGCCAAAGTAGCTGGAAATATAGAAGAGAACTTCATTCCCTCTGGGAGAAAAGGATTTCTCACTGGAGAAACTTATCCCCCAGACTCCACTGAGTGTTGAGGTGAACCATTGAAATTCTGAGGGAGGCCTTGCTCCCTCAGATGTTTCAGAGATGAAGTGGAGCAGCAGGTGGAACGTGAGGCATGTCCTCTGCGTGGGCCAGGGTGTGCTGGGAGGAGCCTGTACCAAGCTGTTTCCACAAACAGTTGCTGTAACAAACAAAACTTAATTAGCAACAACCACCACCACAAAGGCTGAGTGAGAAAACAGTAATATCCCAAATCAATACAGGAAATTTGGTATCACACTAGTTCCACCTACAAGAGATTTGCTAAGAATCAGGTACCTGGGCAGAAGGAGAGGGGTGAGAGGTCCCAGGGGAGAAATGTCACAGTCAGAGGTTCAGGGTGCTGTGAGAGCTCACAGGGCAGATGTACAGCTGAACTATCCACTGCATTGGGCACAGGTACAATCTTAAAAGAATAAAATGGAAGATAACAGGTATTTCCTACTTTGGTCATGCTGTGTCTGTGAATGGAATACAAATCTGAAGGAAAAATGCTGTTTTGATGTAGTTTATTGACTTAATCCCCAAACCAGGAATTTTACCTTTCTCCTCCAAGTATTGTATTTGTGCTGCATAGGGAAAGCATCCTGATAAAATTCTGAATCCTTTTCAGGAACAATGATCAATGACACTCCCAGCCATGTCAGGAGAGACCAGCCCCAAGCCACAAAGCTTTCCCAGATCTCTCAACCGTCCTGTACCTGCACTTGGTCCAAGCAAGGGTTTTTCCCTGCAACAACTTGCTACACTTCCTTCCCTCAACCTGACACAGAGCAATTCTGCAGTTGTGATACCACTTTTCATAATTAATTTGTTATTTATAAAACACAATTATAGAGGTGTGATTGAAATAATTACTGACACGTGATATTTGCCATTGTTCATTGAGTTTTTATGAGATATTACAAATAAGTCAGAGTGGTTCTGTGTACCTACAACAAACATCCTGCAGTGGGCTTTCCAAAGACATATAGCAATAAGGGATTGCAAACAAGGAGCACAGAGCAGAGGATAATGATAAACCTATGAAAATCTCAGTTTGCTACAAAAAAGTCAGCCAGAATTCCTTGACAAATATCTGAGCATTAGAAGAGCGATAGGAACATCCATTGCTGTCCCGTATTGTGGCAGTGTGGTGTTGTGCTGAGAGGGCTGTGACCAGGACGAGGTGAGTGGGATGAATTTGTTTCCGATGACTGTAAGCCAGTGCACTAGATCTCAACAGAGATCTCCCTAATTCAGAGCCACCCAACAGAAATTACATGTTTTGTGTTAATAAACAAATATTTTAGAGGAAGGGTTAAGCTTCCTGCCACTGCCAAGCATCTCCCTTTGGCAAATTAGGGCTTGCAACCACACATGGAAAGCGGGTACTCCCTTCCACGGTGACACCCACTGTCTCAGGTATAAATGCAGAGGAGGCTGGCTGGAACTTAGAGCTATGATTCCAGACCAACTGTAGGACCAGCTTTGACTTTTCACCTGAGTTATTTGCTGCTGCCACTATGAGCTGTGGCTCCAAGCAGCCCCTGAAGAGCTGCCTGAGGGGGAGCAGCGGTGGAGGGGGCAGCTCATATTCCTCAGCCTCCTCGAGGACAGTCACCTCCAGGACCAGTGGTGGTGGCAGGTTTTCTGGCAGCAGTTGTGGTGGAGGAAGCTCCAGGAGCAGCTGTGCTGGAGGAAGTGCTTATGGCAGGCGCAGTAGCTATGGAGGAGGAATGAGCAGCAGCAGCTGGGGAGGGAGACTGGGTGGTGCGTGTCATGGAGGGGGAATGGGCCACAGCAGCATGGGAACGGGCTTCAGGTCCGGGAGCGGCTTTGGGGGCGGTTATGGAGCAGGCTTTGGTGGAGGAGCGGTTGGTTTCAGTGGTGGCAGCTTTGGCAGTGGTGGCTTTCATGGAGGGAATGTGGGAATTCTCTCCTACGATGAGAAGCTGACCATGCAGAGCCTTAATGACCGCCTGGCTTCCTACATGGAGACAGTCAGGAATTTGGAAAAGGAAAATGCTCAACTTGAACAGTTAATCAGGGAGTGGTACCAGAAGCAAGGTCCTATTGGCCCAAAGGACTACAGCCACTATTATGGACAAATTGAAGAACTTCAAAAGCAGGTAGGGTGCTCTTTGCTGGAGAAGCTGAAGCACTGACAGACTGAGAGATTCACAGGGAATGTTTTCCTAACACGTTGTGTCTCTTCTAGATTATGGCTGCAGCTGTGGAAACCCACAAGGTACTTTTGGACCTGGATAATACAAAGATGACTGCAGAAGACTTTAGAATAAAGTAAATATATATTGCTCTTTTACAGGCACTGACTTCCTTCCTCCTGCTTTCCTGAACTTAGTTTCATAGATTAATTCCATAAACAAATACCAATCCAGAGGGACTTGGCTTTCTCCTGATTCCATGGCAGCACAACTGAAATAATTTGTGAAACTTCATATTTTTCAGTATTCCTAGAGTGATCTTTGATGGGAATACTGCAGAGCCAGAGCTTACAAAAAGTTTAATTTTTAAGAAAATAAAAATTGGGATTTTCTGTCACAGAAAGTTAGGTTAATTAGATAGATGGAATCTACAAAAAGTTGTAGTAAGAAGAGATGATGAAAAAGACCACATAACACATTTTAATATTAAAGTTTGATATTAATATTAAACTTTGTATTTATTTAGTATAAAGAATAATAACTTTATGTTATTAAGTAGTAATATTAATTAAATGTTAAGTATTGGCTGATGATTTTCTAATTCTGATGGCTGAGAGATGCTGCAAGCTCCAAACTGCAGACAAAAAAGCTGACAGTGATTCTGGAATAGGTGAATTTTCCATAAATAATGTCAGCTTGGAGGAGGGCTGAGGTGCCAGGAGCAGGGCTGACCTCTCTGCACTGTCCCTGCCGCAGGTACGAGATGGAGAGCGGGCTCCGGCAGAACGTGGAGGGCGACCTCAACAGCCTGCGGCCCTTGCTGGATAACCTGACCCTGACCAAGTCTGACCTGGAAATGCAGTTTGAGTCTCTAAAGGAGGAGATCCTCGACCTCAAGAAGAACCATGAGGAGGTAAGAGCCAGCTCCTTGAAATACACACTGGAGATGTGGGAAGCTGACATCCAACAACGACCAATGGGCATGGCCAGGCTGCTCCAGGGTGCCCCTGAGCTCAGCCCCCTCAACAAGCAATGACTGGAAAGTCAAGGCTAAATAATTGCAACACAAACCCTCCAAATATATATATGTTTTGTGTTCATTGTCCTTGGGCCTGTGTTTTCTCTGCAGGAAATGAAACTGCTGCAATCCCAGTCCAATGGGGATGTGAATGTGCAGATAAACACTGCTCCAGGAGAGGATCTGCTGAAAAAACTGAATGAGATGAGGCAAGAATATGAAGCCATTATTCAGAAAAACCGTGCAGAGGTTGAAAAGTGGTACGAAAGCAAGGTAAATGGTGACAGTTCTTGGTAAGAACTTCCTGTAGAGAAATGACGTAACATGCATTGCTTTTACAAAATAATGGTAGTGTCCCTTTGGTCAAAATGAAGTAAATCACAGGTGGGCTTGAATTGATCTGACGGAGCCACACAAGCAAGTTTAACAGCCCCATTCTACCAGTGGCCCTTCTGCAATTGTTGTGTTCCAAATGGTCCCACGATAAACTGCCATGTTGGCACTGTGAGTAAAACTCAGAAACTGCAATTCTCTACATTAATTTTTCAGATGGAGGAAGTGAGTCAACAAGTCCACTCAAGTAGCCAGGAAATAGAATCAAGCAACCAGCAGATCTCTGTGCTGAGACGTGAATTTCAGAGCCTGGAAATTGAGCTGCAGTCGCAGATCAGTCTGGTAGGTAACGGCTGCTCCTCATCCCCTGCTATGCAAAGAACTCAGGAGCTGTGGGAATGCCAGGATGTCAGCTGTGACAGTCACTGATCCTTGGTGCATTTGACATGATGTGGGACTTCTCTCATGTTGGGCATAAGAATGAACTAATCCTGCCACATTTCCATAAACACTGCATTTTATTTTCCCTTTGCAGATAGACTCTCTGCAATCCAACCTGGAAGACACAGAACGTCGTTACAACATGCAGCTGCAGCAGATCCAGGCCATGATCGGGCCCTTGGAGGAGGAGCTGGCCAGCATCCGCTGTGAGATGGAGAGCCAGAACGAGGAGTACAAGATGCTCCTGGGCATCAAGACCCGCCTGGAGCAGGAGATCCAGCAGTACCGGGCACTGCTGCAGGAAGGGCAGCACGGTATTAGGTACAGCCATCAGATAATTAACCTACCTATGCAATCAGGGAAAGAGGACAGCAGCAATATTTGTATTAGGAACTGGTGTAAGGGATTAATCAACAACATAGCTACTACAAACTACATGAATTCACATGGAATCTAAATCGTAGTGGTAGCATGCAAAGCTGTACTTTTACATAAGTGTTTAGAATTGTAATTTGCCATTTCTTCCTCTAAGTACCATCAGGAAGTGATGGCACATCAGGAAATGCTATTATTTGGGGAAATTAAAGGTAAGAAATAAATAACACACCCCTTCCTCCTTACAGCACTTCACAGGGAGGAGCTGGTGGTGGATCTTCTGGAGGAGGAGGTCATGGAGGAAGTAGTGGAGGAGGAAGCTGTTGGTCCTCTGGTGGAAGAAGCAGTGGAGGAAAAACTGGAGGATCCTATGGAAGATCTTCCTCTTCTGAAAGCGGAGGAGGAGGGAGTGGAGGAAGAACAGGAGGTGGAACCTGTGGTAAAACTTCAGGTGGAGGAGGTGGCAGCAGTGGAGGAGGAGGGGGTAAATCCTGCCTCTCCCGCTCTTCATCTTCCCAGTCCCAGCCTGGCGACTCTTGTGAAAGCCCAGGTAAAAATGGAATTAAAAAATACATCCTGCAATCCACAATTCTCTCTGAGTAGCAGGAAGGGATATAACAACTTCCTTCCTGGAAATATTTTTGCTATTTTTTCCCCAATCTTGTTTTAAGGCCACTCTGACATTTCTTCTTAGACAGTGACAAATCAACATGAGCAGCACGAAGGATGGCATGGAGATTTGTGTCAGAGGATGGGTGAAAAGAGGAAATGGAGGGGGAAAAGGGAAAATGGTGCCAGGTCCAAAGTATACGGGGAACTAGGAAAGTCAGAAGTTAGAAATGTGACTGGCAGTAAGCAGTGGTTGTTTAAAGCAGGATAGAATAATTGAAACACTCGAGACATTTAAAATATAAGGGGAATTGGCTGCAAAATACTGAAGCAGCAAAAGATGGAGAGTGACCAAAGGGTCTGATCCATATCTGACTTCCTGGCTCTGGTTCCAGGAAGTGCTGAAAACATGAAGCTCTGCCTGGAAGGAAATAAAACACTGGAGAGAGGAGCAACCATGGAGGAAGTGTCTGAAGCCATAAAACACATGAGACTGGGTAAGGGTCCAGGTCCAGGCAGCAACTCAGACAAAAGTCTGAAAATGCTGAAAATGAGCAGGAAGATGTAATTTTTAGAAAGATTCAATTCCACTTTTGACTTTTTTATGAAAAGATGGAAAATGGTCCTGCTTTGAGGTTTCCATCTAGTCCTTAGAATGACCAGATTCAGTCAGGCTCTGTCCCAAACAGTTTCTGTTGCAGACTGACAGTCAGTCATGACATGAGAGTTGGCTCTCCCCCAAAGGGCCTGAAGCCCTTTGCAAAGGGTAGGAACCCTGCACAGACACCTCTGATGCTGAAAAAAAGGCAGTGAATTCAGGAGGATTTTGTGTCATGAGAAAGATTATTTGGTACAATTTGGTGTAGATGAGCTCTAGTTTTTAAAAAATTCCTACATCAGCTTTGCAAACTCCTCTGCAAAAATTTATTCCTCTGATCAAACATCTCCTCTGCCCTGCAACACTCCAATATAAATTAATGCTTGGTAGGCAAAATTAAAGCATATTACATGCCATCTATCTTTAACTTATAAAAATCTACTGGAAATATCCATACACACACAAATGCAGATTCTAAGTTCACCTGTATTTGGTTTGTACTGCTGCAGCCATTCTAAATTAAAGTGATTTGCACTGCTGAGAACAGAAGCAGATACATGTAGTTAACTGCTAAATCTGCACACACACTGTACAAATTCAGGTCTGACACTGTCTGGACGTTCCCAGAAGGCTGGGAACAACTCTGGTGCACTGAGAACTGCACAGCTGATATTTAGAGAGTACCATAAGGTTTAAAATGCTGAATTCTTAAAAAAAAAAAAAATCTTGCTTTCCTCCATCTTTCAACAGGGAGTCTTAGAAAGGTTGAGGAGTGATCAGCAAGACCAGCATCTTCCACTGCATGTCCTCCCAGTGAGGCCTTTGGACCAAGCAAGACTCTACTGAGCATGGCTGAACATCCCCTGCCACGAGCAGGAGCGAACACTTGTCCAACTTACTCAACACTGCTCACTCCAGGGGCTCGTCAGAGCTCTCTGCATGTCCTGTCTGCTTCTTCCATCTGTGTTTCTGCTCCAAATCACTGTTACCTGAGTTAATCTCTACCGTGATTGGTGTTCCTGTGGAATAAATGCTAATAAATCTTTGCTTCTCTCTGATGCAACCAGAAAGCTGTGTCTAGTGCAAGTTCCTTTAACAGAGATTTTTGTTCGAATCAGTTACAAATATCAAGCCCTACCTGTGTAATACACAATGACATGTCAGACTACCCATAAGACACAAAGTTTTCAGTGATATATTCATCACTTAAGACTCACTGGGCAAAACTTTGCAGTCTGCGCTGACAGGAACAATGCTCTACCGGTCCCTGTGATTAGAAAACTCAGTCAAAACCTTTCTGCTATTGACTTCCATCAGGGATAAGAGGGTGGGTTTAAGGAACTGACTATTCTGTATAAAACCTGTTGAAAATACAAGGTCTGTTGGGAATTTCACTTGAAAATAACCCAGAGGGTTTCTCGCATGACACCTGCTCACAGATACATCCTTTCTCCTGTGCACTGCTCCCCTCACCTGTTTAAGCCCAAAGAGAACAATCACTCTATGAGTCTTTCTCTCTGTTTTACAACCATGAGGTTTGTTTTTTCCCTCTGAGGAAGGCATCACCCATGGGAGAATGTTGGGAAACACAGACTGAGTAGGAGACCGTGGGAACGGGAATCCTAAACTCCTGAGTTCCAGGCAGATCTGTGCCAGTGATTCACAGTGTTGCCTTATGCCAGGCTCTCAGCCACGAATTAGTATTGTAAAACAAACAAAAAAAAAAAAAGAAAATCTGATTTTTTTTCCTGACCAGTGTCTCTCTATGTCTAGAGGAACCAGCTCACCTGCATGAAGGACTCCTGCACACCGAGCACATGCCAATGCACCTGGCCCGACACCACAGCCATGGTGGGGATTCTTTGCCAGGATACCCCCAACTCCCACCTGTTGCAAAATCACCTTCTTTTTTAACCCCTTGAAGCATCACATCACACTTGTCTCTGTTTTGCTATCTGTACCCTGAGCCTACTTTCTCCAATTGCTCTGCTCATTTTCCACCTCTGGCACATGGTGACAGCTATTTCTCAGACCTGTCTGTTCAGGGTGCTCAACTTGCAGCCCAAATTAAGGAATACTCCCAGTCCAGGAGCCCTGCTTCTCATACCTCCCCATGGAGCCTGCCAAGTTAACCTCAAAAATGTTCCTGCTCAGTGCCTGCTTCCTGGCTGTCCCAGGGTGATTTCCAGGCCATCACCTGGCCTTTGGCCCCACAGTGACACCCAGGAGGCTTTTGGGGTGGTTGGATATTATTAACTCAGAGAATCAGCTTGTCCATGCTGGAGTTCAGTGCTCTCTGCCACTGTGGTACCACAGACACCTCTTGCTCCTGTCCTTCTTTCCAAAAATATAACTTACTTTTAGTATTTTACTGCTGGTTATCAGGCATCTCTGCATTTAACCCTGCTGAAGAAATTCTCCTGAATTGATCCCTGGGGAAGCAAAGCAGAAACTGGAATTTGGAGCGTGGGAAGGGCAGTGAGGCAGTTCAGGGGCTGAGAAGCCAGTGCTGAGCACAGACATGTATGAGGGTGCAGCGTGTTGCAATACTCAGTGCAGTTCTGCTGCTGATTTAAATGCTTATTTTGATATGTTATAGTAAGTAACAATTTATGAGCCATAAGGATAAATAATATACTGCTACTACTACTTTTGCTACTCAGCATTGATTGTACTGTCTTTTCTTTATCTAAAATCTGTGTCTTTCTTAACAAGATGTTTTTATAATGTTTATACATTCAATGAGTTTGCATCTTATATAATGTAAATCAGCTTCATAATATGGTTTATTGCATGTTATGGTATATGACAAAATAAATACAAACAACCAATAAACTCACAAAACCCCCTACTTAATCATGGCATTAGCACTCATTACAGACAAAAAGCAGACTAAAATGAGAGGGTTTCTTACGAGACCCCAGTAGAAAAAGCCAGTTTTAAGGATTCTTTCCTTTTTACATTTTGCATTACAAAATCTGCACCTGGGTTATCACTGGGACCTGCTTACTGAGAAAAGAGGCTTACATGGAGGAACAGAGCTGGAAAACTCAAACCATTGCAAAGCAGGACTAAAAAATACAAACATTGTAGTGCCAGGTGTCAAAGCTTAGGGCAGGCTCAAAGTGGGGCAGCATCAATACTGAGGAGTGAGGAGAACTTTGCACTTTTTATTTGCATGCGTCTCATTAGTCATTAATCAACATAATAAGCTTTAATTTTATGAGCACAAAGTGTTGCAATTCGGATACTTATCTGGTGCTCCTATTAGTGCTCTGAGACGGTAATTGCTGTACGTGTTGGAACAAGACCTTCAGAGCAACCTTAGGCAAAAAGCAATGTGCACACACTCCTGCGTGTTTGGCTTCAGAGCTCCCAAGCAATCCATGTGTCTATTTGAAAGCACAGATGTCATTTCCAAATTGCCTGTGTGTATATTGTGCTGATGTCTCTTTTGTTGAGCATTCATTGTTAGCCCTGTTCATTGCCAAATGCTACCCAGGCCATCCATCTTCATGGGCTGCAGAATAAGTGCAAGTACATCATGTCACTGGGCTGCGGGAGAAGGCAGAGCCCACCTGGGCTGTCCCTGAGTGTGTAAATCCTCTGCAGAGCTCAGCCCAGCAGGACCTTTCTCCCTTGCTATGCTGCAAGGAGAGCAGATGCCATGGATGTCCCCCTTCCCCACCCCACATGAGCTGCAGTGCCTCCACAGGCTGGCCAGGATCCCACCCTCCATGTGCCATCTCACAGGACACTGCACTGACCAGAGCCATCCCGGTGTGCATGCCCACAGCTCCAAGGGGCTCTGAGGCTGCACAGCCCAAATGGACTGAGATATCTGAACCTCAGAGAGAGGCAGGAACCTTGGCAGGTGTTCTGACCGTGCCCTCTGGCTGGTCTCTTTGGCTACCAACAAAAGGAATTATTCCAATCAAATTGCCTTCACTCTGTAGGAGACTGGGGAAATAACAGTGGGACCACTCTGATTGTGGCTCAGAAACTGCTAGAAACACTGACGGCTGACAGGAGGGAATTAGCAGCCTGCAAAGTGTCCCCAGCTGTGGGGCACACGTCCTGGCCCACAGCTCTCACAGCTACATGGCAAAGCCCATGTGTGCATTTTTTAGGATCTGAGGAACAGCTGTTCTTCACATCAGCCTCCTTGCATAGAAGGTCCAGGTTTATCCTGCACAAAAGGTTGTGCTGGGAGAGTGCTGGAAGTTTTCAACTTCACAGGCAAGCCCACTGCTGCCTTAGGGATTCTTGTTTGCTTTGCTGGGTCTAATTTAAATTTCTTCAGAAATGCCAGTGATTTCACTAGAACATTCTGAGCTGAAGCAGGAATGAGGAGTGAATGCTGTCACTGAGGTGCTCTCTTGTAAAAATTTCTGTTAAGAGTGATGGAAAAAGGTCACTGAATAGATGAAAAAAAAAACTGATAGTTGCCCGAGATAGCAGAATGACATTGAATTAAGGGGAAATGTTTAATTTTTCAGCACACAGGCACAAAAGGGAAAACACCTTTTCTCCAGGTCTGTTTGGAATGCAGCAGCTCCAGCCTGTTGGAAAAGCCTCCCAGTTCTGCAGCATGGGCTGCTCCCAGGGTTTGTCATCACTCGGGTGATTGGAAGTCACTTCTTTGGTACGGCTCACAGAGGCCTGATTAAAAGGAGAACAAAAACAGAGCGGGAGTGAAGGAACACGGCCGGGCTGAGCCCGAGCAGAGGCTGTGCACACTCGGAACGTTCCGGGCACTGCTGGTGCCTGGAGTAACAAAGGTCCTCACCCTGCTCCCATTGGGAAACAAAAATGTTATATAAGGTATGGATGCTGCATTGACACAGAAACATTAATGTAATGATTCAACTGTGCATCACATATGGGAAAGAGATGAGAGATGGTCCTAAACCTGATGGTTCCTTTTTAGGTAATTCCATAAATTTACAGCATCCATATAATCTATTAGCGAAAAGCATCATAGAACAAAAATCTTTAAAGACTCTTCTAATGAGCTCAGATATGGAAAATTCATTCTGTCCACAGAACAGATCTCCTCTGGTTTACAAGTATTTGCACAGTCAAATATTAAATAATCAAAAAATGTTTCAAAATCAGCCAGGAGGGAATTCAGCTGTGCAGCTTTAGAGGAGGATGAAGTATTCATAGTTCACCTGTATTATTCAGACACTTCAGTGTCCTATTCCAAAGAGACACACAGTGACTGTGACAGAAACCAAACATCCCAAGGGCAGTTCTCAGTCCCAGGAATACACAGGAATATGGCCCAGCCTCATGGCCGGCAGGGTTCCTATAAACCAAGCTGTTCCACACCAAGGTGCAACTACTAACAAAAATGAAATAGCAGCAATGCTAAAGACAAAACAGGAACATCCTATGAGCATGTGCCTTAAAAGTTATCTTATAGGCAAAATCTGTGATTTATGATCCTCCTTTACATACAAAGAGTGGTAACAATACAAAGCTAAAATGAAATGTCAAGGTGAGTGAAAGTTCTCCACCCTTAGTGGTTTGAATCTTTCTTTCCTTTCATTGTTGTTATTTTTTAAAGTATTTTCCAAGCCTGAAATAAAACTTGCCCTTACCAGAAGAACTCTTTGGTGTTCAAATCCCTTCTATGAATAGTTATATATGGAAAAAGATACCAGTAAATAAAATAGGAAATCATGTCAGTTGTTAGAAGATAAATAAACAGATTAAGGTATTATTTTGGCAATTTTTTTACTCTTTCTTTAATCACTCCTTTAATCACTTAATAGTAAATTTTGCATTTACTATCACTAACAAACCCACAGATCTTCTATCTTGGCTATGAAAAGCATGTCTAAGGAATATCCCTGGAATCACTGATGGGAATTTGAACATGATAATCAATTTTACTCACCACAGCAGAGTTTGTGACAAAGGGTCCCACTGAGCAAAGCAGCATTACCCAGACCCAGAGGCAAAACAGCACAAAAAAAGAAAAACCATTTTGCCTATATCAAACTCCCTCTTTCTGCACCAATAACAGACTGTGCTAAAGCCCAGAAACTGTTTATGCTG